ATTCCTTCCATTGCCTCTTATTGATCTTCCCATATCTTTTAAAACTCTGACCCCTCAGGAATGTCTCCTAAAACTAGAATGATTTCCCAAATTAGTAAGTAGCCTTGTCTGGAGTCTCAAGATCAACCTTAGTTATTGAACCTTAATTTTGGAAAGTAGCAGAACTTAAGACAAATGTCTCAATAGAGTTTTAACTTACAAGTATCTAAAATTTTATAAACATTGGGCTATATTCTTGCCTTATATGTAATAGAGGAATACTTGAATACTTGTCAAACTGTAGGATAAAGTACAGTGTCAAAAAAACTAGACGAATAATGAAAAATTTACTCAAGTCAATAATTTTGTATCATTTATCCTTTTGCTACCATACCAACTCCATCCTCATCTTAAAAAACAGTGTGAATTCAACCGCTTTTATTTTTTTTTTACTGAATTCCATCAAACCAATTTGTTAGGATGAAATATTGCCTCTCTGAGCAAAATGGCAAACAATGCTTTTACTGAGAATAAGAACAGAGATTTGTGGGATCATAGATTTTGATACACAAGGGACCTTAGAGATAATGTAACCCAACTCCTTCATTTTACAGATGAGGAAACTGAGGCCCAAGGGAAATGATTTTCCCAAGGTCACACTGCTAATACATGCCTCAGAACAGTCACGTATTCATTCAACAAACATTAAGCGCATACTAACCTTTGCTATCTCTTGTCCTACTAATCGTCTTTGACTTTGAGTCCTATTTTTTAATTATTATCTTCATTTCCTATCGATGATCCCAGATTTCTTTGTGAACTTTCAGACAGAATCATAGGATCACAGGATTGGAACAGACCTCAGAGGTTTTTTTAATGGACTAAATATGTAGTGTAAACATGAAATTTGTCTACAACCAACCCTACACTTTCTTTATCATCTTTTTAGTATTAATAATAGAGAGTCAAGGACAGATTCCTGGAGCAATCTACTAAGAACTTCCTTCAAAGTTGACATAAACTCATTAATGACTACTCTTTGGGATCTAGTCATTCAACTAGACCTGATTCCACATAAAGGTACCATCCACATCTTTCCATATTATCCAAAAAAAAATTTACAATTTTCCTTGTATGAATTGTATGCATTATTCCATGAATATTATACTCTAATAAAAGGAGGATTTTTATGTTCATATATATTGTCATTGGCCAAGCAGAGACTCAGAGAAGTATTAACACTAAAAAATACCTTACATTTTCATATTGGGCACCAAATGGTTAGCAACAAGGAAATGTATTTTTTTTTAGACTCATAAAGACCATCTACTAAGGCGAAGAGGAATTTTGAACTGTGTCAGTGAAGGAAGTACCCACACTAATGAAATCACAGATCTCTGAAGTATGAAAGCAAATTTGTATAACACTTTTACCACAACTTAGTACTGTGTCCAGAAACCAAACCCAAAACATCTGCCTCTCAGTGCAATGAACGTTTGTCTTCAAAAACCACAGGCCACATCAAGCAGGAGCTTCCAATCTCTTTTGAGTCAGGGTACATTATTGTTTGATTTCACAACACTTCCCTCTCCTTCTTAAAAGTTCTTGAAGACTTTCATTGTATCAGAAGATATAATCTAAAGATTCCTCTAAATAAAGAAATCCATAAATCCTGGACTACATCCAATAAGAAAGATTTATGTGAAAAACAAGACTTGTGCCCAACACAGAATAATGCTGATATTGGACAGTTAGGAATGTTTTCTCATTTTTAGAGCCTTATGGTTTCCCCTTGTCTCTGACTGATGGGAAAGGTGACACTACCTCCCACGGAGGTAAAAGGGGATGGACAATAGACTCCCAGCCAAGGCCACCCATCAACTGCAGCTGGAAGCCTATGGCTACACATACCGATGTCAGTAAAAAGAAGAACTATACACAACAGCTGAGACCCAACAACCTCCCTCCTTATTGCCCCAAATTTGACCCACATTGTGATTTTAGTTGCTCCATAAATATTGTAATCCACACATCATGAATACACAAACGTATGGAGTTTCCAGGATTTGTTGATTTCATTCAACTAAAATTTAAATGAATTTTTTAAAAAGAATTTTACCATGACCCTGGAGATAATGGGAGACACCCTGAGTTAACACAGAATTGAAAATCTCTGACTTCATGAAGCTTATTATACATTGCAGCTCAATTAACTAGCGTGTAGCTCTAACATTTAGAGCTTTTTTTCCCATCAGATTAACAAAAGTATATTCTTACCATCTCCTGGATACATATAACCAGGACGTTATATGTGTTTGCCATATGCCAGATTTTTAAATAAAATTTTGAGACTTTTCCAAAAGGTTTTCCATGTACTCAGAGTATACCAGGAACCTACATGTAGTGAGAGGTTCCTTAGGAAAGGCTTCCCTCACCAAAAATATCTCTCTGTGGGCTGGTTTGAGGTTTAAAGTTGTCACCTTTAAAAGCAAAAACATCTTAGGTCCTTATCAACCATTCACACTAGAATTCAAATTAGTTTAGTCAGCCTAATAGCTGTTATGGGCTTTATGTCAGGCAAGTAAATGACTAGAGAAATAAGAGAATTAGAAAGAAATAAAACATAAGACTGGGGCAGCTAGGTGGTACAGTGGATAGACTGCCAGGCCTCAAGTCAGAAAGATTCATCTTCCTGAGTTCAAATCTGGCCTCAAACACTTCTTAGCTATGTGAGCCTGGGCAAGTTAGTTAATTCTGTTTGCCTCAGTTTCCTCATCTGTAAAATGAACTGGAGGAGGAAATGGCAAAACACTCCAGTATCTTTGCCAAGAAAACCCCAAATGGAGTCACAAAGAATCAGACATAACTGAAAAATGAATGAACAAAGAACATGAGGCATCCCAGTGGGGAAACCCCAAAACAAACCTCAACAGCCAAATGATGGCTCCATAGAAGGAAGACAGTGAAAAGAGTACTGGACCAAGATTTAGAAGACCCAGCTAGCTCTGTGATTCTATGATAGTCCTCATTTTTAACATTAGAGGAGAAATATCCTTTTATTTGACTTTTAAAAATAAATTTTATTTTTGTCAGTGAACAAAAATTGATTTTCTTTCCCCACTACCTACATCCTCCTCAGTGGGAGGCAGGTTAAGGAAAAAAACCTAGAGAAGTATTGGGGGAAAGGGGGAAAGGGGGAAAGCTAAAAGGGACCTTAGAAATCATGTAGTTCAACCCCCTAATTTTACAAATAAACTGAGGCCAGAGAATGAACTTTCCAAAATCACAATGATAGTGGAAAACTAAGTGGAGTAGTAAATAGATCAGAAATACATGAGTTAGAACCCTGCTTCAGACATTTATTGGCAACATGACACTTAACTTTTCTAAGCCTCAGTTTTCATCCTTCTTCACCTATAAAATGGGGATAATATCACCTACCTCACAGGGTTGTTGTGAGGATCAAATGAGATAACACTTTGCAAATCTTAAAGAATGATCTAAATGTTAGCTATTAGTAGAAGGAGAGATAAGGAACAGGATCCAGGCCCTAGTCCTCTGACTCTAAGTCCAGTAAAAGAGAAATGGCAGCTTGGGGGAATGAGAATGATTACAAAGCATCTCTGGGACTTTTCTCAACTTTTGGACCTTTGGAATGTTGTAAGATGATTGTCATAAAAGATGCAGAGTGAAATGAACAAAAGTTGAATAATTTATGCAACAACAACACTGGGGGCAGGGGGGGAATTACTTTGAAAACTTTAGAAACTCTGATCAATACATTGACTAACCATGATTCCAGAGGACGGATGTTGAAACATGCCACCCACCTCCTGACAGAAAGGTGATGAACCTGTGTGTGTGTGTGTGTGTGTGCATGTGTATGTGTATATGTGTATATATGAACACATATACATATGTATATATATATATTGAACACAACAATGTAGGAATTTGCTTTGATTAACTATGCATATTTCTTACAAGTTTTTTTTCATTTTTATTTTCTCTCCAAGTGGTAGTAGAGGTGGAGGGAAAAGAAAATCAATTTCTGTTCATTGAAAAAAAATTTAACTTAAAAGTAAAATAAAGGGATATTTCTCTCCTAATGCTTAAAAAAGATGACTATCACAGAATCACAAAGTTAACAACATCTTCTAATTATTAGTCCAGTGGTCTTTCTACTATATGTTATTTCTAAGGAAAGACAGTTTTACTATTATCACTACTAAAAAGTGATTACAACACATAAACTGTACTAGAACCAGAGCACGATCACAGACAAAACTGTTGTTCACAATTGCCCAAACATAACAACCCACAAAAATGCTGAGTGATACTTTTAATAGCTGTTGCCACACCAAATATCCCTTGCCTCCAAGCTATATGAAATGACCATCTTTGAAATTGTAGGGAGTCCTAGAGGAAGAAAGCAAAACCATAAGGGAATGAATGGGCTTAGGTACCCATCATCCCCATCATTCTTCTTCTGTTGGAGTTGTTCAGAAGATGCTTTTAGTGGGCCTACAGAAGATGAGTTTGCCTGCCAATACTTTTATTTAATAACGAAAAACAATTCTTTTATGTACTTGAGCAATGGGCCGCAGAACATTAAATTAGAAAGGACAATTACAGGATAGTGACTTATCTCTGTATCATTTCTGAAGAAGATAGTATAAAATTATTGTTTTTTATTAAAATGTTTTAATTTTTTATTAATTAAAATTTATAAATAAATGAATTCATTTTATTATTATTAAGACAATAATAACAATAGATACAACATGGTATAGTAGAAAAGAACACTACACTGGTTGAAGCAACTAGATGACATGGTGAATAGAATATTGGGCCAAGAATCAGAAGACCCGAGTTCAAATCCTGACTCAGTCATTACACCCCTCTCAGCCTCAGTTCCCTCATTAAAAATGATCTACGTGAGGCAGCTAGTTGGTGCAGAGGATAGAGCACCGGCCCTGGAACCAGGAGGACCTAAGTTCAAATCCGGCCTCAGACACATAACATTCACTAGCTGTGTGACTCTGGGCAAGTCACTTAACCCCAATCTCCTCACCACAAAAGTAAAATGATCTACGAGATCCCATTTCTAGCTGTGTGACCTTGCGTGAGTCTTAAGGATTCAGTTTCTTCAGTCGTAAGATGAAGGTGTTGGACTTAAAGATGCCCAAGGTTCCTTTCAGTTTTTCATCTCTAATCCAATTATCTCACTGAGAATTGCAAAATAACTCTGTGAAGATAATGCAAAAATAATTAATCTGTTCCTAAATATATAGAGAGAGATGCACATACACATACCCACACACATACACCCATATATATATAGATATAGATATATCTCAATGTTGAAATGACAGGGGAAAAGGTGTCATTATAACCACAAGATCAAATGGACTATTTTAAGAAAATGTGGAAAGCACAGCGTTTTTTTAGGCAGGGAATAATAATGGAACAACTCAAGCAAGCTAGGAAAAGTTTTCTAGAAGGATATATATATACTTTAATTCTTTTTTTTCCTTTTTTTTTGGCAAATCTCCCATTTAAACTCATTAATATTAACATTTCTATGTAGTGGTTTGGGTCTACTTTCCTTCCTTTTTAGCAAATTATTAAATGGTAATTAATTAACATTCTTACCTTCAATGCTACCTTTTCATGTCTTACAGGAGGTGAGGTCAAGGTACTCAGGCTGTGTCTATGGGATGCTGATCATGCAAATGAAAACAGAAAAATCCAGATGTTTTACCTATATAATGGCAAACATAAGACACACACAATTTATGTTTCTATCCAGATGTTTGCCATTGAATAGACATATTGTCCATGTTTAACCCTCTACTTTTTGTTAAAAATTATGTGGATGAACCCTCAGTGTTTGTAATTTTTTTGTTTGTTTACATGCAGAAATGGTATCATTGTATCTAATGTCCCTTATTCCTTATCCTAGCATCCCTCCACAACTTCAGCTTTCTCCCTTCCATAAAAGGTGAGATCTAACTATGTTACACTATGTTACACTGTGATACTGCCATGTTACACTGTTTAGCCAAGAAGGAGAACCATTGCCCATTCTGTGAGTGGGAAGGGAGTGTGTGGTTTGGTGTGGCAAGAAGTCAGATGCTAGTAGCTCTTCCTGCTCGTCAGAGGCCATCTATACACCCACTGTCAAAGTGCTATTCCTAAGACAAGAGACTGCTCATCCCCTTCACTACGAGGATTCAATTTGATACAATTCAGCAACTACTGGCTAAATATTTCCTGTGTACCCAGCACTGAGATAAGGTGCTCTGACTTAAAGAGGGATATAATTTAGTTCCTGACCTAAAGTAACCTAAACTTCCTTCGAAGAACACATCCAGTGCCGCTTTTTATGGAAGACGTACACACTTGTGAGTGTCCTCCCCTCCCCCAAATTTACTTAATATTTGCTTAGTAACATGCATGTTATCCCTACCATCACCACAACCACCACTAATTTATTGTAAGCTCCCTGAGGGCAGGGAGTATTCTGTTTTGGGTTTTGTATGCCCAGCCTAGTATGAATTAATAAAGATGAAGTAAATTCAGGTGCACACAGTAGATGCTAAATAAATACTTATGAATAAATGAAGACTCAAAATACATGAAGAAAGGAAGAAAGTAAATGTGCATTTATTAAATTCCTTCCATCTGAAAAGCACTGGGCTAAGTGATTTTACAAATATTATCTCATTCAATCCTCACAGCAACCCTGGGAGGTAGATACTGTTATTATCTCCATTTTAAAGCTGAGGAAACTGAGGCAAACAGAGGTTAAGTGACTTAGCCAGGGCCACGTAGCTTGTGAGTCTCTGAGGTCAAAATTGAACTCTGGTCTTCCTGATACAGGCCCAACATTCTGTCTACTACGTCACCTAAAGGCCTCTAACAATTAAAAGACAGTACAAGACAATCCCTAACTGGGTGCTGGGATTTGTGATATAGGTCATAAATATAATGGAAAGTTAGGAATGAATCAGTGTGAATTGGAGTAGTCAATCTATTAAAACTTCTTAGAGGAGGTGTCCCTGGAGCGGAATTTTGAAGAATGGTCTCATCCTAGGAATGGGATGAGAATCTGGGAGGCCCTCACAGAGAACTTGTATAATGATTCAATAGAATCATTATTGTTTGGCTTTTCTTAGATTACATAGAATTAGAAGGGATGTCAAAAGGTGGTGGGAATAGAAATTACTTCATCCGGAATCCCTGATCTTATTACCATGAAATCATTTGTTTATCATGAAAATATCTGGTTGCCGTTCAGGGCAAGAATTGCTGGGGCTCTATTCCCAGACATTCCCCACCCCCCTCACCATGAGTCTCTTTAAATCATTCAGCGCTGCTAGTGGTACATGCAGTTTTAAATAGCTTCATCTATAGAGTGCGTTCTCTTTTCAGGGAATCTGACAATCATCCTGATTAGTTATTAGATGCACACAGTTTCATGAGTGGAGGAGATGTAATGAACATATTGAAGTGGCAATACATTTGTTTAAACGATTGGGCAGCATATTAAACACACTCACTTATTATTAGAAACAATTAATCCAAGAATTAAATGGAAAAGACTCCCCTGAGAAATCCCCTCCTCTCCCCATAAAGAAGCAGTTTAATGGTCTTCCCCATTTTGAATAATACTCTCGGTTTGCCACTTTTTCCTCTGGTCACCTAGAATGAGCAGGAGTATTACGCTTTGGCCTTGTGAGGCTTCATGTTTCTCTTTGCTGTGGTTTCTTTGCTTCCATATACTCACATTTCTGATTTGCTTTTCTTGAGATTTTCTAAAGGAAAGAGATGGAGGGGTGGGGGAGGAAGTAGAATCCAGAAAGAAAGGGGGATTTTTTGTGATTCAACAATGTGGGCTAATGATGTGATTGATGAGTCTTCTGAAACTTGGGCTATGCTTACACACAGTCATTAAATCAGCTGTTTGTCAGTATGTTCTCTTTGAAGTCATATCAACAGCCGGTAGAGGCCATGGCAAACTGAAGCTACCTCTGAGGTGTCCAAAATAATCACATCCACCATGTTCTGTGGAGGTTGCCTTAATGTAAATGATATAGGATCAGATCCTATATATCACACACCAGGTGTGACCAGGTCACACAAAGACAATCAGAATTTTCTTTAGACCTTGTAAGAGGAAATATGGGATGGTAAAAAGACTTCTGGACTTAGATTCAGGAGAAATCTTGGTTTGAATCTTGCCTCTGGTATGAGCATGGATAAGTCACTGGACTTCTTTGAGTATCACTTACCTCATCTATAAAATGGGGGTGAGAATAGTAGAACCTATATCAAAAGGTTATTGTGAAGTGCTTTGTGAATCTTATTATCCTATATAAATATCAAGTAGTATGTCTTAGGACTAGAGGTTTCTTTCTCCTTCCACGTAGAACTTACTAAAAAAAATTTATATTGTTTCCATTCGTATAATCATTGATCCCTTCTATCTTCCTTTGATCCAGAAATTTGGTAGGACACAACTGAAAAAAACCTAACAACAAAATTTTTTTATTATTTGATGAGTTTTTCTATGCTGCATGATTATTAATAAACCACATGGTTTATTCATTAAATTCATTAAAATTGAATTGCTGAATATTTTATAGTTAGTAGGGTCTCGGTGAGGGGCTGAATCCTGCCCATGGAGATAGTGGCTCAATGAGTTGAAGAGAAAGTGAATGTCTGGGTAGTTTTAGGTATGATATTTCCTATCATACTGCTAGAGACTTTCACTGAACTGATTTAGTCCCCATTTGGGAGATGGGGAATGGTAAGGAGTCGGAGTGACAGGGGTAAGTAGGTTACTCAGAGGTGACGGGAGACTATCTATCTGGTGGTCAAACAATATTCCTACAATCCCCTCAGCTGATTGAGCCTTTGACAGATCATATGATAGCCTGCAGCTTTCTAGAATGTCAGAAATCAAAGGAATAAGCTAGGAATAGTTACATTCTTTGTTAAGTATACCTTTTAGTGGTACAGATAGCACTCACCACCACCACTACCACCCCTGTCACAAAAGTATTTGAAGGCTTGTCAGGTAGAAGGATTAGGCTTGTTCAGCCCAGAGGGTAAAACTAGGATCAATGAGTAGGCCTTGTAAAGAGACCATTTCGAACTGGATGTTAAAGGGAAAAAAAAATCTTCCTAACCAGCTACTCAGAAGTAGAATGTGCTGCTAAGGGGATAATGGTTTCTCCCTCATTGAAGAAGTTCAAGGAGATCTTGAATGAACACTCAGTGGATATGCTGTAGTTTTTGAATTTTATTTATTGGATTTCGATTGATCTGGATGGCTTCTAAGTTTCCTTTCAGTGAAATTTGTTTCTATATGGTCCTAAGTCCTTAGACTTTATCTAGTCTAACCTGTTTATATATAAGGAAATTGAGGTACAGAGAAGAGAAATGACTTTCCTAAGGTAGGAAAACAAAGATATAAATACAAGGTACTCTGACTTCAAATCCGGTTCTCTGTTCACTCCATCAATCATGGTCTTCGCTTTTAACCCAAAGTATTCTCTTTTCCTATGAACAGTTAGGTGGTGCATAAATAGACTCCCAGGCCTGAAGTCAGGAGGACTCATCTTCCAGAGTTCAAATCCATCCTCAGATCTTTACTAGCTGTGTGACTCTAGGCAAGTCATTTGAATCTGTTTGCCTCAGTTTCCTCATCTGTAAGATGAACTGGAGAAGGAAATGGCAAACCACTCCAGTATCTTTGCCAAGAAAACCCCAAATAGGGCCATGAACAGTCAGACATGACTGAAAAACAACTGAACAACAGCAAAAATTCTCTTTTTCCTCAGGAATTTTGCTAGTCTATATAACAAGCTAAAGCACAGTAGGAAATATTATGATCAAATAACAAGAGGGTTACTTTGGGACTACCTCAGCCTAAAACTGAGTTTGTAAATGTCTAGGGATTATATTTCTCTTCTTTGTATTCCTCTAGTACTTCCTGTTCATGCCATTCATT